ACTGTGCTTGTAGATATAAGGCATAGTAGCATGACTGGCAAGTAATACTCATTTTCTCTTGTTCATGACGAACGAGACTGCGTCGTGTGTAATACCTGTTGGTTCATGAGCGGCTATCTCTCTGAGACAGAGACAGGAAGACAGCAACACAGGCAGACAGAAAGACAGATAAGCAGAGACAGATATAAACATAGAGCTAGACAGACAGATGGAAACAGATAGACAGAAACAGATAGACACTTATTTGTCACAGAAAAATAAATCAAAGGCAGTGCATGATCATCAAATGTCACTCCACGAGTGACACTCCACTGGCAGTGGAGTGACAGACAGATACATAGAGAGACAAATAGTTACAGACATGTTTATGTGTAACAGTGAAAAATAAAGCCAAGGCAGTGCACGATCATCAAGTGCCACTCCACGAGTGTCACTCCACTGGCAGTGGAGTGACTCTTCCTACACTGTGCTTCAAGGAGCTTCATATATACTCCAGCATTTCTAAAACATTGCTGGGACCTGGCGGCTGGAACAGATTAATGTCATTTCAGTTAATTTCAATGAGGGAAATTGATTTGATGTACGAGAAAAATTGAGTTACGAGTGGGGTCACGGAACGAATTTAACTCGAAAGTCAGGGTACCACTGTATTTGAAAAAGTAGAAGTAATAAAATAATAATAAAAAAATAATAAAGATAAAGATTCTGTTGATATTAAACACAATTAAGATTATGAGGTAGAATGGTCATTGAATACAAAAGTGACGTTCAAAAGTAATTGGGGTATTAGAGTTTTAGCGAACAAATTTTATGGCAGTATATAACTGTTACAGGCAGTTCATAACACTAATTGTGGACAGTGGGTATAATCTGCACTTTACTCTGATTCTGTTAACCCAGCCTCACTTAGAAATGTTTTTAGGTCGTATTCCGTAGAGATGAAGTATCTCATCTTAGTGGGCTGTTTCTTAACTGCGATTTTTCCGTCCCTCACAAAGCACTGATGGATTTTTTGGGCATGGCATAATTTTCTTGGTCAATAAAGGAGGTTTTGTCTTGTTTTGGTAAGGCACTCGTTGACGTATACATCAGAAAATGAATTGCTTATGGCAACATTGCCGACTGCCGGTCATCCGGTAATAGTTTATTTTGTTTTTTCTACTTTTTTCTTTTATTTTTTAATTTATTTTTCAAGTAACTTTTATGGCCTGTGAGACCAATATAAATAGACTATTTGGTATGTATTCACTCATTTAATACTACACAATAACCGCACAAACTTTGTTGTCATTATATTGTTTACAAAACATTTTTACTCAAGCCAACAATAAAAAATGTTTGTTGCTATTTTTCTATTGTACAGTGGACCCCTGCCTTACGAATGCATCGCGTTACATTAAATCCACCATACAAAGCATTTGAACGCAAAAATTTTGCCTCTCCTCACGATAAAAAACTTGCCTTATGTAATTCACCCGGGACGCGTCCCACATGTGGCCTCAGCACCAGTGTTTACAAGCTAGCCAGTGCGGTCGCATTTGCTCATACATTCGGTACATTTCACATTATCCCAGTGTTTTTAGTGCTTGTAACTGCAAAATAAGCCACCATGGACCCCAAGAAAGCTTCTAGTGCCATCCCTGTGGTAAAAAGGGCGAGAATTAGTATGGAATTGAAAAAAGAGATTAAGGAAATATGTGCAAAGTGGGTTGAAACTGCAAACCTTTGCGGATGAAAATCGCCCTGACACAGCTACTGCAAGCCATGTTGGCAACCTGTACAATGACTAATGTTATGGGCCCATTTTAGGAAAATCTTAAGGAACGGAGGTACAGAGCTCTATGGACAGATTTGTTGTGCGACAGTGACTCTCAAACTGGTCCCAAAGCATTAAAAAAAAGAGGAAGTAACCTGGAAAAAAGGACTTGCTACCTCAAGTCCCAACAATAACTTCTACATTCCCCCCCTCCCTGTTGGATGTGTATAGGGCCAGTTGAACCATATGCCACCTACTATCTTCCACACCCTAAAACCTCTGCCTGCATCTTCCTCCGTCAAACTAAACTAATTAAACTAACATCTCCTCCAAGGTAAGTGTAACAAATATAAAAGTTGTAAGTTATAAAAGTATTTTTTTTTTTTTTCAACAAACTGGCCGTATCCCACCAAGGCAGGGTGGACCAAAAATGAAAAACAAAAGTTTCTCTTAAAAATAAATGTAAGTGTAAATATAAAAGGACTCTAGTGGAAATAAGTCACTCTGACTTTTTTGGGTTATCTTAGGATACTTTACACTTATGCTGCAGTGTAGAATAATCTATGTACATAAGTGTATTTGTGTATACCTGAATAAACTTACTTATTTATAAATTAAAATCGTAATATTTCTTTTTTATAAATTACATATACATTGTTTATGTTGTGAATTAGGATTAGTGCTTCTGCCTGCCGCTCCACCACTTATTCCTCACACATTGTCATATTTTTTCATTCTAGGAGTATTATATCATGGTTCTTGTTATTATATTGTTATTATGTCATATTAGATGAATTGTGATAGAAAATAAGCGTATAGATGTATTTGCGTATATTGAAGCATAATAAACTCGCACTTCCTCTCGCCTCCTTACCTGTCTTCCATACACCAACAAGAATCAGTAAAGGTAAGTGTGATGTAAATATTCATTTATCCATTTTATTAGTGCTTTATATTTATTTGTCATTGTTTTCTGTATGTATATCTATATTTAAACCCTTTCAGTGTATGTCCGTAGATCTACGGGCTTTACGTTCAGGGCCAAGTTAGATCTACGTCATGAGCTCAGCTCACTATCTGATAAATGTGAGTGGTTACAGTTGGGCCTAGATATGAGAGAATACTCTATGGTGGTATCATGTGTGCACCTCATTAAAAACAGATCCTGCAGCCACACTGTGTTTTTTAATGAGAGAAAACAAACTGAAATCATGATTTTTTTCGATTAAAAACAGCGACATTTGCAGATGGTTTTTTTCGTATGTTTTTTTAGTTGTATTTGCAATTTCTTGGTTCTCATTTGATAGAATGGAAGAATTTTACAGTAATTGAGATGATTTTGATTTTGGTTTTGCACTGGAAATGCTTGATACTGAGCTCAAAAGTAGCTGAAATGTTAAATTTTTTTGCCCGTATTCCAAGAGTAAACAAAGACCTCACACGTCTATAGACACGCCAGCTGGTGGGTCTAATATGCATTCACAAATATGGTGATGAAATTTATACAATTATTACAATATTGCCTTAACAGTAAATCTTTTATTTTTTGAGTGTGAAATAAATAATATTTTCATTATGTGAATTAAAAAAAATCAAAATGGGAATTTATTTGTAAAGCCTCAAAACATAACTAATGAACAGAGGAATATGTTAGTTTTGTTCCAAGGGATATACCTACATTGCTTTATTCTGGACCCTATTTTTTGTAATTGGAAATATTTTGAACAATTGGTGTTAAATGGCCAAATTAATTACACCATCACTAACCCTCACTGCCTTCCACAACAATCACTTTCCTCCCCACAAACCTACCTTCCATCTTTCCCTCCTTCTACCAACCTTCCCTTACTTCCTTTCTACCTACCTTCCCTCCCCTCCTACTTTCGTTCCTTCCCTTCCTTCCTCTTTCTTTTTCCTACTACCCTCTCTCCTTCCTTTTTCCTCTTATTCTTCCTTCCTATCTACCTTCCCTTCTTCCATACCTTACCTTCCTCCTTTCCCTTCCTCTCGTCTCTTTCTTCCTTCTCATCTCTTCCTTCCTACCTACCTACTAACCTACTACCTACCTTACCTACCTACCTACCTACCTACCTACCTACCTACCTACCTACCTACCTACCTACCTACCTACCTTACCTACCTACCTACCTACCTACCTACCTACCTACCTACCTAACTACCTACCTACCTACCTATACCTACTACCTACTACCTACTACCTACTACCTACCCTACCTACTACTACCTACTACCCTACCTACCTACCTACCTACCTACCTACCTAAACCACCTACCTACCTACCTACCTACCTACCTAACTACCTACCTACTACCTACCTACCTACCTACCTAACCTACCAACCTACCTACCTACCTACCTACCTACCTACCTACCTACCTACCTACCTACCTACCTACCTACCTACCTACCTTCTACCTACTACCTACTACATACCTACCTACCTTCCTACCTTCCACTACCTACCTACTCCTACCTACCTTACCTACTACCTACCTACCGACCTACATCCTACCTACCTACCTACAGACCTACATACCTCACCTACCTACCTACCTACCTACTACCTACCTACCTAACTACTAACCTACCTACTTTCCTACCTACCTACCTACCTACCTACCTACCTACCTACCTACCTTACCTTCCTAACAACCTACCTACTACCTACCTACGCTAACTACCTACCTACCTACTACCTACCTACCTACTACTACTACCTCACCTACCTTACCTACCTTCCTAACATACCTACCTACTACCTACCTACTACCTACCTACCTACTACTACCTACCTACTACCTACTACCTACCTACCTTCAGAAACTTTTATGGGACTGTGAGAACAAAATAAGGTATATATGTACAGTGGTCCCTCACTTTTCTGTCGTTCTCGCAATCATAAATTTCGCCTATCATTAGAGGTATTTGGTATAAAATGGACTCGCTTTTCATTGGTTTGACTCGCAATTAGTAGTTCGCCCGGGACGCGTTGCTCGGGTGGTGAGCAAGGGCGGCTTCCCTACCAGCCAGTTGCATTGTTTGCCAGTGATTGGAAGGTCCCCTCAAGTGATCCTACGATATATTTCATATTATTCCACTCATTTTAGTGCTTGGCATGTACTAAATAAGCTACAATGGCTCGAAAGAAAGTCCCATAGTGCCAAGGCCGGTAGTAAAGAAGGTGAGAAATTTTAACATGACAAAGTCTTGGTCCCATTTTAGGATGTGTTTAAAGAGACGCCAGAAACAGAGCTCTCTCCACAGTTACTTTGCGGTGACAGGACTAGTGTGACTCTCAAGGTGGTCTAGTGGCATTAAGAAACAGAGAAGAGAAAGCAAAACCCCAGAGAAAAGCAATTGGTACCTGAGGTGTTGCCTGGAAGGGGATTCCCCTTCCAAACACTGTAAAAATCCAGCTCTCTCCTCCTCCAGTATCCCATACACTAAGAAGAATCTCCAATTAGTGTAATTGTTATGCTGTAATGTTTCAGTCATTATTTTTTTTCCCATTGTATTGTTTATGTACTACATGTATATTTCATTAAAAAATTTTTTTGTTTTAATACTTCTGAGGTGTCAGGAACGGGATTAATTGTAATTTACATTATTTTTATGGGGAAAATTTATTCGCAAACTCCTAAATTTCGTTTATAGTTGCTCCTCCGGTATGGATTAATTTCGAAAAACGAGGGGTCCACTGTTTGTATATTTTCACTTGATTTGCTACCTTGGAGGTTTTACCTGGAGAGGGTTTTCGGGGGTCAGTGACCCCACGCTGGTCTAAGACCAGGCCTCATGGTGGATCAGGGTCTGATTCATCAGGCTGTTACGATGGCTGCACACAAGCTGACGTATGAACACAGCACCCGGTGGTCAGGTACGACTTTTGGTACCTGTCCAGTGCCTTATTAAAGACAGCAAGGGGTCTATTGGTAATGCCCCTTATGTATGCTGGGAGGCAGTTGAACAGTCTTGGGCCTTGGGACACTTACTGTGTTATCTTTCAGGTGTACTCGTGGTTGCCCCTGCTTTCATTTGGGAAATGTTACAATTTCCTGCCGAGTCTTTTGCTTTCATAGGGAGTGATTTTCGTGTGGGCAGCGTTTGGTACCACTTCCTCCAGGACCTCCAAGTGTATATTATATGTATCTATCACGCCTGAGTTCCATTGAATACAGATAATGTACCTTCAACGGTCTCCCAATAATTTAGGTGCCTTATTGTACTTGTCTGTGCGTGATAGTTCTTGTACACTCTCCAGGTCTGCAATGTCGCCAGCCTTGAAGGGGACCTTTAGTGTACAGCAGTATTCAGCCTAGAGAGGCACAAGCGGGATTTGAAGAAGAGTCATCATGGGGCTTGGCATCCCTAGTTTTGAAGGTTCTCATTATCTTTCCTATTATTTTTCCTAAAACTTATGAGGTAGAGAACATGGTGTGGTCTTTGAAGGTGAGATCCTTCTGACATTATCACTCCCAGGTCCTTAATATTACTTTTTTTGCTTCTCTTGTATGGTTAGAATTTTTTGTATACCCTGATACATAATTTAATTTCCCTCAAGTTTCCCCTATCTGATAGTTGAAATTTCTCCTCGTTGATCTTCGTATTGTTTTGAGTTTTGGACCCATTTGAAGATTTGGTTGATGTCCGCTTGAATCTTGTAGTGTCTTCGATGGAGGTCACTTGCCATGGTAAATCTTGGGTGTCATTTGCAAAGGAAGGACACCCATTACATCTCTGTCTGTGTAGAAATGTGGATGAGGGAATAGATTGGGAGTGAGTACTGTGCATTTAGAAATTTTAGCATACAAACAAGGGTACAAAAATTACTGAGTAAGAGCAGCATGCCAAAGCCACTTATATGCATAGCATTTACGGGCTGGACTTAAAATAACTTAAGGATTAAACTAAGCAATGATGAAAATCAGTGATAAGGACCATTTATTGTAAAAACAGATATAACTATAAATACAATGAGTATTACAAAGACAGGTCTATGGTTGCAATGCATTGCTGTTCATTCAGTTAGAATGGAGTATTCTGTTAGGTAGTGTATTTAAAAAAGTAAACAAAGTTACGGTTTAACATTTGTGTGATATAATTGTGAGTTACATTAGGATATACAATTTATATGGTTCGTTATGTCAGATTATTTGGTTTTGAGTGAGTGAACTTTGAGAAGAGACTTGAATTTATAAAATAGGTGTGTCTTTTTATATTTACAGTGTAATGAATTCCAGATTTTAGGGGCCTTTTATGTGATTGAGTTTTTTGCATAGAGTGAGATGGACACGAGGAACATCAAAGAGTGAATCTGTGCCTTGGTATTATCGTATGTGTTCTGTTGAGGTTGGCAAAGGAGATGGTTTGAGGGGTGGTTAATTTCAAGAGTTAAGTGTTCTATGTATGAATAATGCAAATAATAAGTATGGATGGTTTTTTGTATGGTGAGTAGGTTGAGTGTGTTGGAATATTGGTGGAGTGTGCTGCCTGTAGTGAGAATTTGTTATCATTACTAACTGCACCTTTTGTTGGGTAATTATTGTCTGTGGATGGTTAGTTGTTGTTGAAGCACATGCACAAGTTCCATAGGTGAGATAGGGTAAATAAGAGAGTGATAAAGGGCAAGGAGGGCTGATGTGGAACGTAGTTACTGCTATTCTTCGATAGTATGCTACAGTCTTGGAAATTTTTCTTAGAAATTTGTTGTATATGTGTATGAATTTTGCAGTCTATTATCGAGGTGGATTCCTAGAATTTTCCTCTCTGTTTGCCTTTGTGGATAGGATGATCCGTTTATTGTTATGTTAAGGGTTCATCTGTAGCTATGTACCAAACTGGAAGGAAGTAGGTTTTGTCATGTTTAGTGTAAGTTTGTTAGTCCTATCCAGGTAGGATAGTTTCTGTATTCGGTGTTTACAGTATTGGCTAGCGTGACTGGCTCGGGTGAGAGAAGACGTATGTGGGTCATCTGCAAAATGTGTGGGTTTGAGTAATTGCGAAGCATTTGGTAGAGTCATTTAAGTATAGGAGAAAGAGAGAGGGCCAAGGGGACTCTTCCCTGTGGGACACCAACTGAATTGGTTGTGCGGAAGAGCTTGCCCCATTTGCGTACACATATTGGCTTCTGTTGGCTGAAGGTAAGACTTGAGGTAGTTGAGGAGTGCCCTCTAATACCATTGTTTGACAAATTTACGTGGAGAAAGTCAATGGTCTACTGTATCAAAAGCTTTACGTAACGTCAATGAAGATCCCCCAGTGGGACTTCTTTTTTCTCTATTGCCGTGTATATATGTTCTAGCATATGTATTTTTTATTTATTTATTTATTTATTTATTATAAATTTGGAGCACACATACAGAGGTACAAAAAAAAAAATACAGATAAGAGCAGCATGCAAAGCCCACTTATACTATTCATAGCATTACGGGCTGGCTTAAAATTAACTTAAGATTAACTAGCAATAGTTAAAGTCAGTGATAAAACTTATGTTATAACAGATTACTAAAAGCACAAGTGAGGATTACAAAGACAGGTCATATGGTTGGCATTCAGTTCATTATGAAGGATTCTGTTAGGTAGTGTATTTAAAGAAATAATAAAGTTAGATTCGGTTTTAGGTTTAACATTTATGTGATATAATTGTGGAAACATTTAAGATTATACAATTCTATAAGGTTCAGTTATTCAGTATTTATTTGGTTTTGGGTGAGTAATGACTTTGAGTAGAGACTTGATTTATAAACAGGTAGTGTTTCTTTTATATTTTTCAGTTTGAATTCCAGATTTTAGGGCCCTTTTTGTCCATTGAGCTTTTGCATAGTGTGAGAATGAACACGAGGAACATCAAAGAGTGATCTGTGCCTTGTTGTTTATGGTCATGTGTTCTGTGAGGTGGGCAAGGAGTTGTTTGAGGGGGTTAATATCAGGGTTAAAGTGTTTATGATGTATAGGTGCAGTAATATGTATGGATGTTTTGTATGGTGAGTAGGTTAGTGTATGAATATTGGTGGAGAGTGCTCCCTTGTAGTGAGAAATTGTTATCATTCTAAATGCAGCCTTTTGTTGGGGTAATTAGTGTTAGAGATGGTTAATTGTTGTTGAGCCCCATGCACAAATTCCATAGGTGAGATAGGGTAAATAAGAGAGTGAATATAGTGCCAGGGGGTGACTGTGGAAATCATAGTACCGTATCTTCGATAGTATGCACTACAGTCTTGGAAATTTTCTTAGAAATTTGTTGTATATGTGTATGAAAATTTGAGGTCTATTATCAAGTTGGATTCCTAAGAATATTCCCTCTGTTGGCTTTGTGATAGGTGATCCGTTTATCATTATGATTAGAGGAATCTGTAGCTCTGTTACCAAACTGAATGAAGTAGGTCTTGTCAAGTTCAGTGTAAGTTTGTTAGGTCCTCATCAAGGTAGATATTTTCTGTAATTCGTTATTTACAGTATTTGGTAGTGTGTCTGGGCTCGGGTGAGAGAAGACGTATGTAGTGTCATCTGCTAATAGTGTGGGTTTGAGTAAATTGCGAAGCATTTGGAAGGTCATTATAATGTATAGGAGAAAGAGAAGAGGGCCTAAGGACACTTCCCTGTGGGACACCAACTGTAATTGGTTGCTTGCGAAGAAGTTTGCCCCATTTGCGTACGCTTTGGCTTCTGTTGCTGAGGTATGACTTGAGGTAGTTGAGGGAGTGCCTCTTATACAATAGTGTGAAATTTTACGTGAGATAAAGTCATGGTCAACTGTATCAAAAGCTTTACGTAAGTCAATGGAGATCCCCAGTGGGACTTCTTTTTTCTCTATTGCAGTGTATATATGTTCTAGCATGTGTATAATAGCATCATTAGTATTTTTATTAGGCCTGAATCCAAATTGGCAGGGTGAGTATGTTTTGGGAGTTAAGGTAGGAGTAGATTCGTGTATGAATTAATTTTTCCGAAGATTTTTGAGAGTGAGGGTGTAAGTTGTGATATTGGCCTATAGTTATTTCAACTATGTTTGGTCTCCTCCTTTGTGGAATCGGGGTGACCCTTGCTATTTTGAGTACTGTAGGGAAGGTGGAGGATTCAATGGGATTGTTAATGAGTGTTGCAATGATTGGTGAATGTACTTGTGACGCTTTTTTGTATATAAAGGGATGGTAAAGGTATTTTTATATAGCCTGCCTTGTTTTTCAGTGCGTTAATAATAAGGGAGGACTTCGTATGGGTTAGTGGAGCTAGGAACAGTGTGTTCGGGTAGTTTGCCAGTGAGGTTAGTCATTTGGTGGGGTATCTGAGCTTGGCGATATTATTGGCAT